TGTCAAAAAAATAATAATAATAATTGCTAAATATTTATATAAAGCAACAAACTCAGATCTCACATCCACTAAAATAAAATTATTATATATATATATATATTCAGCACTACAAAAATGTTATAACATGTCAACTATATAGGCAAATGATATTAAAAACATATAAATAAATGGAAATGAACCAAATGATCTAATATCCAGTAAACGTAGGTCTCCAACTACATAGAACTTGTCACTTGGAAGCTTCACATTCCTTAGTACTTGATGAGCCTAAAATTGCCTTTGTGGTATGAGCCGCACTAATCACATCAATCTGCTAAGATGTAAACATATGAATTAAAGAGTTAATTAATGCACATGGAACTAAAAGTAAGCAGAATTCAGATAATAGATAATGCCTTAAATAATCTCTAATTTTTAATTATATATATATAGTGATGAGATTCTGAACATGTCAAGTCCCCACTCTAACATTATAGTTAAACATATAAATTCTTAGATATTTAAGATAATTTGAAGTTTGTTAGAATCCATGAGAGAGGATTGCAGAGCTAAGAAAGCTAGAATTTGAGAGTGAGAGAAACGAGAGAATAAAGATCAGAGAGAGATGAAGTAGAATTAGATTCTGTTCTTAATGAATGTGATTACAAGAGGGAGTGCTATTTATAGCAACTCAATGACAGCTAACTAACAATAAAACAATAATTAACCCTAAACTATTGCTGACGAGGCAAGTCAGCTATTAACCCCCTGCAAACTCATGTGAGGTTTACCAAGCATGAGATTGTTGCGCAGATATTAAAACTGAGGAGCAGCTAAGCTTTTGGTCAGAATATCTCCAAGTTGCTCGGTACTAGAGAGATGACAGACATGCATTTCCTTCCTTTGAACTCTCTCTCGAACAAAATGAACATCAATTTCCATATGTCGAGTCTTACTATGAAAGGCTGGATTATGAGCAAGAGTAATCGCAGAAATATTAATAACTGGTGGTTTGCGAAGAGTGATGTGGAGTTCCTGCACTGAGAGTAATAATCAACTAGTCAATTTGCAACTTGATTGTTTCCTATGAGAATAATATCATCTACATAGAGCAATGAAAGCATCAAGACGGAACCTTTATTGTAAATGAAGAGAGCTGGATTTGAAAAAGATTTAAGTGAAACCAAGATGAATCAAATGAGTAGAAAATCTCTCATTCCATGCCCTAAGAGCCTGTTTGAGACTATATAATGACTTATGTAACCTGCAAACCATTCGAGGAGAGCTTTGGTCAACAAATCCAGGTGGTTGATCCATATACACCTCCTCTGTGAGTATACCATGCAAAAATGCATTTTTGACATCTAATTGTTTCAATTTCCACTTGAATTGAGTAGCTAATGCCAAAATTAATCTGACTGTGGTGTGCTTGACAACAGGACTAAAGGTCTCTATGTAATATATTCCTTCTTCTTGGTGGTATCCTTTTGCAACTAAACGAGCCTTAAACCTTGCAATTGATCCATCTGCATTCGTTTTTTACTTTAAAAACCCACTTGCATCCTACTACTGCTTTGCGAGAAGGCAAAGGAACTAAAGATAATATCAACCAAAGAAGTTCTATGATCAAAAGTATTGAATGAGGGCCTAGTAAATGCATCAGAGAAACTTATGATTAAATCAAATCAGAAGCTAGTTCAAAATTAACATAAAATGCTTACCTTGTTGCATATGCTTTGCCCAAACTGAATTGATAAACAAAATCTGTAAAATCAGAGCCCACAATTGAAATTGAAACCTCAAACTTCAAATATAAATTAGAAAGAGGACTGTTATTCAACAAGGGTAAAACAATGATTAAAGATGAATCAAAACTTTTAACAATTAAGTTCAGATAAGGGGGGTTAATAGACAGACTTGCTGGAAGAAAATACACAAACTTCGTGGAATGTGTGCTTATCTAGTTTCAAATTCTCAGAAATTTCAGCGACGAACTTTCGAATTACATATGAAATATGTGTACTCTTAAATGCACAACGAAACTAAAAGCTCAAGATTAGCATTATGAAACGATCAATAAAATGTATAACCCATACAAGCAAGCATTGGGTCCTCAAATGCCAAGCATAATTAAACAAAGCCTAATCTTTTTGGTGAACCAACAACCACACTGATTATTAATTAAACCAAGTCTAAGCCAAATCAACAACTAGTCCAAGAGTAATATACAATGCCAAATCAACAACTACCCAGTGACTAGAAGCCCATGGGTATTCTATAAATGCAACTTGAAGCCCATGGGTATTCTAAATGCAACCATTATCTGCACATAATTTAGAAGCCCATGTCTAAAATCAATTTTTACTGGGTGAAAACAGAAAGTAGAATATGAATTGTAAAAAAGAAAAAGGAGATATAGACGACAGAGGAGACTAGCTTAATCAACTGATGTGTGGGCTTCCAAAATTAAACTTATTATTCATCTGCACAATGCCGACACATCTTTAGGAAACAAAATTAAGAAACAAAGTTCTTTTAGTGTCTATACGAATTTGGCAATGTAATACATGCTCAGAATCCGAACAACCTTGGAGGAGAAATATAAGTTATAGTTGTACTAATAATAATAAAGGGCATTAAATCTGTTTTTTTTGTTTGGTCGAATATTCCCTAGACAACCCAAACGCCTCCCCACCAATTACACCACCTCCCTCCCCCTCCCCCACTAGGATACTAATTCAGATATGGCTAGGATTCCTTTTTTCTTTTGGATTGTTACTCTGTTTGCCTATAAAATGCCAAGCCAACAATTACAATCCCTACCGAAAGTTTAGCGTCTCTGGTTTTCCTTTTAAAAGCACGTATATATCAGCATCTCTGGGTTTCTTTTCTGCTTGTCAGCATAGCGTTACTATATTCAGGTCTTCGGATGGCCAGAGAAAGTCGTAAAAGGAAATTGGTAAATTTGAACCCGGAGCTCCCACCCGAAATCATATTCTCCCATATACTCCCACGGCTACCACCAAAGGATCTGATGATGCAGTGCAGGTGCGTATGCAAGTCTTGGTCCTCCCTCATCTGCAGCCCTTCCTTTGTCGCCGACTTCTGGAACGACAGAAACAAGAGCACCACTAACTTCCTTTTCCAAAAGCAAAACCGCTTCTTCTCCTCAAAAATAGAGGAGAAGGAGCAACAAGGAGGAGGGAATAATAATAATAACAGGGTTCTAATTCCAACACCCGTCGCCGAACTTTCATACCTGAGTCGATGTGAAGCTCTTCAACTTTATACATATGATAGAGTGCAAAGCGTCCATGGCTTGGTTTGTGCATCCTCTAGTTATGGTGGCCCAGTTTTCATACTTAACCCTACCACTCGAGAGTCCATTCAACTTCCCCATGTCAAGCACAATGCATTAGTTGCATACAACTTTGGCTTCAGTCCACTTACCAACGAGTATAAGGTTCTCCAGCTCATCAACTTTCGAAATTCAGATTTTCAGTTCAACGCATTCACGCTAGGTCAGGATTCTTCGTGGAGACCATTGCAGGTAGACCCTGCAGCAGGCAACGTTGACCTTCCATTTAAAATATGGACTGTGGCCATAAGTCCTGTGTGCATCAATGGGGCCATACACTGGATCGATAAGTACGAAAAAAAGATTGTGGTATTTGACGTTGGAGAGGAGAGCTTCAGCGTGGTGCCACTATCTGAAGATTGTGCTCAAGACTTTGTTGACTATGATGATAATTTTCCAAGAATAGTTGAGGTGGGAGGATGTGTGGCTGTGTATCTTGGGAACCGGTGGGAGCATAACAAGTTAATTTTATATGGATTTTGAAAGACTACCAAAACCTTGTGTGGGTTAAGGAGACTATTACTGCTATTGAGGTACCCCAAAAAACAATTCAAGGTGAAGTTTTGGGCACAATCCACACAGGTGAGCTCGCGATAATGCTGCTAGTTGTCGACTCTCCACTCCAATTACATCTTTATAATATGAAGAGCAAACGATGTAGAATATTTGATTTTGTTTGGCCTGGCTTTATGGCAAAGCCCTACGGAATGCCATTAATTCAGTTAGTTTATAGCGATAGCATTGTCCCCTTAAAATGAGATGGATACATACAATATACATGTGCTCACAGAAAATCTGCTGCATTACAATTTACATACAGGAAGAAAGTTTTGCATAAATTCTATGTAAGTTTATTATCATATTTGATTGTTATAATTTTTATGAGAATTGTTATGATTAAATTTATATTTTTAGATATGGTGGTTAATTAGTATTCCTATTTTCTTTTAGTCATTCTGTTTTCCTATTAATATCAGGCCAACAAACCCAATACATACAACATTCCCACACCATTCTGCCCAAAAAAAAAAAAAAACATACCTACACTATGGGAACACTCGTGCATATTTGAACACAAGAAAGACATGACACAGTTCATGTGGGGGAAGAAGAAGACAAAAGAAATTGTTTCTGGCTCTAGCTCAGCACTCATGTCGATGTCAAAGTGGGAGATTTGCAGAGGATGGTAATGCAAACATGAGCGGTTGATATTGGAAATTTTACTTTTCTTGCATAATCAAAACCCTTTTGCATTTGATTTATCTTGTGCAGGCACAGGAGCATGAGATCTTTGATCTAAAACCCTTCTTCATCAGCCGGCTTTGTGCCGGATGAACAGCAGGGATTGATTAGGCATCACCTTCCAAGATAATGCAACAAAGTATCGATTTTGAATCGGTTGAAAGAGTTTTTCATGTTAGACGGAGACTGTATTAGTAATTATGAACCACATAATTAGCAATTATAGATAGATTCTGGATAAATCTCACAATTTCCATATGCTTTGGATGCTTAACTAGTCTACCATAACATTACCAGTCTCTCGTGTTCTTTTTTCTGCCTAGTATTGCATTCCTGTATATCCAATATGTATATGCTTTGCTTGATAGAATTCGTCTCTCAGAATTGTGCTTACATATGGTTATATCGAATCACAGTTATCCAATCAAAATTAAGGTAATGGTAATGCTTGGCAGGAAAAAAATATTTTAAAAGTTAAAATAGATTTTGTTTTTTTAGTTAGTAAAATACAAAAAGATATATAAAAATTATGTGTATAATATATGAATTTGGTATGTATCATTAAAAAATTTGTAAAAAATATATGTATTAAATGTGAAGCATATGTACGTACATGTATTGTCTGTTTGATTTTAAAAAAATATATATTTTATCAAATCTTTAAGACGTGTGCGAAAAATAGAAATATACGAATATTAAATGTTAAAATGCTAATTAAGAAAAGTTAAAAAATAAATTGTAGTGCAGTTAAAAAGGTTCCGTTTGTAATTCGGGATCCTGCCTCGGAAAATTAATTATTATTATTTTTTTCAACCATTACCTTTTAGAGTGGGGACTTTATCGTAAATTCTGTTCCACAAGAGCCGGCTTCAGTTCCTTTTGGCTTATATAGGGTCCAGCCCATATCAACGCTATCTCCCGGTATCAGATTAACCCGGTTTTTTTTTTAATATCCGGACCGCTTTCTTTACAAAAAAGCACGAACCGTACCCTTTTATCTTTCATCGTCTACCTCTTTCGATTGGAACCCAAGCAGATCGACCTAGATTTTTCCAGATTTCGCCTAATTTCTTCACATAATCGTTGAATCGGCCATTTGTTTGCTTAATTCCGAGTCTTCTCTGTTGATTAATCCCAAATTCGACCCAACCCTTGGTGTCGTAAAATTCTAGGGTTAGAACTTTGAATCGGCCCCTTTCGCTCTCTATTCTTCCG